TAGAGTAACTGCTGCTGCTGCATTTGATGATGATAGTTACAATAATCACTTTCTCCACTGTGATAATGTTTAATATTAATGCACAGAAAGGAACCATGCATGGAACAATTGACCTTTGGCATTTTAAATACAGCTATGATGCAGGCTAATAACCATCTCAGAAAACACTAAAGACAGTGAACATTCATTAAAGCTGTTCAGTCAACCTGACATACACTATAAACTGAGCTAATTAAATGTCAAAGAACATGTTTCATGAGTGTTATCCTTTTCATTTATGAGTGATTACAGTGTTACATTCAAGTGGAAATATGCACAGCAACATGGAGCATATGGATATGAGCTGAATGCAAACACACGAACACATCACTTTGAAAAGCAGATGAGGAGGATGAGCAGCCTCTCAAAGATGACGGGTGAAAACAGATTTTCATGTCACATGTAGCGAAAAGTGTTTATGTGACAAGCTTTATATGTGCTATCAGTGTCACCAGGCCGCAGAAATGAACACTTTTATTCTGAGATGATGTTATAAAACTTTTACACCATGACTTGCTCCACCAGTTTTCTCGGGGGAACCTGAAATGCAATGAATGTGACTTTATATTTAGATTTCACACTACTGTTAATGCAACAATGTGTTTTATAATGCTACACTATTATGATTTATCCATTTCCTCTTGGCGCTGTTACTGTGTTTAACAATATAATCCTTAGTTGCAGCAGATAATTGGGTTTCCATTGTCAACCTTGCAGATGTGGACTGCTGACTCAAAATACTGACATTGTCTACAGCTCACATCATTATCAGCCAGCTGTCAAACTCTACTTGACAGCAAAACAATAAGAAAGTGTTACTTCTAAAAACTGTGTAAAAAAGCATATCATCTGTCTGTCATGGTATGAAATATTTCAAAACATTTTTTTTGCCAAAAATTTCCACCTCACTGATTCACCAAATAAACTGGTTTCCTCTTCAGAGCAGGGAGTCTGAAATCCGCCTAATCTATATGCATGAATAAATGTGCCATTGGGAATGCATAGCCTTCTCACCTGTCTCAGGTGATGGAGGAGGAGGAGAAAACAAATTATTACTCTTTTTTCAGCAGTTTTTTTCTGATGTTGTCTGAGCCTCTGTATCCATGGTGAGACGCGCAGAGTCGAGGAAACCAGAGAAAGCTGTCAGTCTGGAACTACAGCTGTAATCATCTCTCTCTGGCGGTGTCGATGGGTTGTCGACTTGCGTGAGTTACCTTGGCAGAATGAACAAAGAGTGCCGGGATGCCCTAGGAAGCCGCAGCACCATGTGAAATCCCTTTGTTGAGTGGTATCGAGTCTCACCCAGACAACGCTTCTTTCATGCATCATTCGTCTGCTCATCCCTCTGTCTTTTCATCTATGCCAATTGACAATGATAGGCTTATTTGTCATATAATAGACATGAATCATTTAAATAATGCCCCTGAACAGTTGGCAGTTGATAGGTGCCAAAAAAGGGCAACTAGGAACCAGAGTGGCACACCGTTGATCGAGAAGGGTAATGGTTGTTGTTGGTTTTTGTTTGTTTAATTGATTTTTGTTTTTTTAAAATGCATGTTGCTGTGTCCTCATGAATATTATTCCAGGCTGCTATTTTTATATGTTCTGACCCTTTATAAATGGGTTTTAAGTTGTAATTTCTAACTTTTTTTGATAGCCTACATTAGGAATTCAAGTTACTGTGAGTAGCTCCTGATATAGTTTTGGGTTTGTAACTGCGCTTTTAAAGCTGTTTTGGCTGAATATTTTAATTTAATTTTTTTTTTTATTTTCTATACTTTATTAATCCCCGAGGGGAAATTCAATTTTTTCACTCTGTTGTCAATTACACACAGGTCTGAACACACACACACATGCACAAACAGGACCTCTACACAAGTAGAGAGATGTCAGAGTGGGGCTGCCCATGACAGGCACTCCGAGCGGTTGGGGGTGCCCTTGTGAACTGGCACCTCTCCAGCTACCAGTCCACGCTCCATATTTTGGTCCGTGTGTATCGGACCAAAATATAGTCTTAAACTGGGGACTTGAATAGGCAACCCTCTGGTTCCCAACCCAAGTCCCTATGGACTGAGCTACTGCCGCCCAGCCCTGAAACCGTTGCTTAATAATTAGTATGATTGGGTCATACTCTGGCCCAATGTAATGTAATGTGGTTGCAGCTCAGTGATGGCATTGTTGGCAGCCAGAATTGAGCCAGAATTGAGCCAATCGATCTGGCCTGATTCTGGGATGTCATTCATACTCAGCTGAGTCAAATAGCTGGACACAACCCAACTTATTTCTTTTGGCGTGCCAAGTTTGGGCCGATGCTGGCCCAGGTCATTTTTTGACCTGGGATAGTGAACAAGTGCTTATAGATCAGTCTCAAGCCAGCTATCAAAAGCAACTTTCAAATTGTCTGGTTGTGAAAGACCCCTCTGGCTGCATGGTGGCATTTCTTTTTTGGTAATTATGCAGTTAGCAATGTTGATAATGCATCAATAAATACTTATAAATACTTACTTAATATTTACACTTACACATCTTGATAAGCTGTTGATAAATGGATATTGGTTCAGAATGTGCACATTTTCCAGAAGGTCATTGGACCATTAGAGGGTCATATTGACAAATTTAAGAGCTAAGAAGCAGGCAAGTGCCCATCCAGATGATAAACTCCAGGCAGAGGAATTTTTCACAGTCTGGCAACCCAAAAGCAGTACTTATTAATGACTTACAACCGATCTATGGAGAATTATTCAAAATTGAATTAACCAATTCAATTGAACCAACTGAACAAACTGTTTATAACAGCTGACTTTGTGGAATACAATACCATGCACTTTAAGCCTCAAATTAATCGCCTCCTTCCATGAAAGAAAACTCAACCTCTTCAGAATGGACCAAAAAGAGTGTCTACTGATGTTTTAAAGTGGATATACCCAGGTGAGTGGTCCAGCTCCAGCACTTAGTGTTTTCAAAAATAAATCTTCTCAGTTCCTCTGGGTAACAGGCAAATAAATAATCCACTTCCAAATGATTCTTTATCCAGCAAGAGATAATATCTCTTCCTGGGAGACTGAAAGGGTAATTAACTGCTGTGTGTGGCCAACATTTGCTGAAGTGAACTCCTTCAGTTAAAAGGTAGATATATAGTCACTGTCCAGTAGTCACACTCATGAAAAAAATTATATCCTGGCTCGTACATACAGTAAGACACAATGGCACAAACATTTCCCATCAACTGGGATTCGTATCTCTTGCTGCAAAACAATCAGCTGCCAGCCTGTTTTCTCCAAAGAGTGCAGCTTTGGCATGTGAAAGCTGCGAGCAGAGAGCTTTATTTCAGCTATGGCATGGTAGAGGTTGACAGCCATGGGAGCTGAATGTGTTTTTTTGGTCCCACATGCTTGAGAGTGGTTGTTTGGGCGAGGTGCAAGTCGTTGTGGGAGCCCCGGCTGCACTTTGCAGATACACAAGCCTGGGCTTTCATGCCCAGACCCATCAAAATGGCCCTGTCAGGCTGCTATCTCCTGGGACTCGCTGCTGCAGTACAGGGGGATTAAAGCTTTTTATGAAGCATTTTCACAGCCAAAGGTGTGCGCAATAGCAGCCTGTGTGCCATTTTCCACAACAAGGGTGGACTTAACTTTACTGGACGCTTAAAACTGGAACTGTGTGGGTAGGGGGGCCGCAAATGTACAGCAACAAAGAAATAAAGACACTCCCTTTTCTAGCACATTGTTCAAAATCCAGTTAATTATGCTCACAGAGAAGTGTGGTAAACTGGGCCAGATTGTGCTACATCTCCTGTGGACTGCGAGGTGAATGTTACAGTGAATATTGTTATTGTTTATTTTTGCTTGAGGTGCAGCATACAGGTTGATGCAAGAGCTGTGCATCTTGGGAAAACTACCAAAAGGAACCTGTGTATTCATTAAATCCTCTGATGTAGAAGGTTGCAAATTATGAAGTTATAGAAGATGTTTTTATACATCTATATTCCACATTCTTCTCAGGAGTGTTACTCTGTATTACACTAATGAAATCCTGAAGCACAGACCAGTCTGGAAAGAAGCTGTAACAGCACTTTCAAATTTAGCACACAGTCTGTGACAATTAACAATCCCTTCGGCCCATGCGTGATAAATTGCTTGTAGGAGAGTCCCATTTGTTACAGCCTTATCTTTTGAGGCTGCTGTTAAGAAGACTGAATTATCCAGCATCAGACAGCACTGGAAATTAGTGGAAAACAAACACAGATTAGGGTTTTAAATATAAACTATCTACCAGACTGGGGTACATTTGCATGTAGCCTACCCCAGGACATGCTTGGATGTTTGCTGTCCAATCACTGTCTAATTGACAGATCCACAGCCTTTCCTAGCAAAAGTGTCTGTTTCGAAATATATAGTAGTGTCAAAATAATGTCAAAATAATAATAATAATAATAATGATAATAATACTAATAATAATAATAACAGTTCCATGAATATGGTTTTAGTATATTTTGGATAAAGACTAAAACATTTAAAATCAGATTTTAATTAAAAATATTCATGATTATTCCTTCTCTATGCCATATTATAATCTGCACACATGTATCCTTCTGCATCTCCAAAATCCCACACTTAATATCTAATATCTATATCTAGATATAGATTGCAAAGATTTACTTAATAAAACCATCTGTCTTCTTATTCGCAAAAAAAAAAAAAAAAAACCCTCCAAGTCCACTTTTTCCTCCAAAGTGGACATGGACACTGAATCACTTATGGTTACTAGTCCACCATCTGATAACTACTTTTTTTCATTATTCTAACCTTCCTTTACAGTCTTTTTCCACCTACTGCTGTCCATGGTGCTGATATATGTATTATCTGTGTGTAAACTCTGCCCTCCAGTGGCTGGCTGACTAGGTGGATTCAAACCAATTCCGGAACCAATGTATTTGTTCCTACCCGAGTTACAAACCTTGGTGCACCTTTAATGCCTGTGTTTTGGCATTTTTGTTGCAGTGCTGTCGCTTCCCGTCTGTAGAAAGTAAGACTTATTTCTCTTTAATTTAAGGAGGGTTGGGGGGGGGTATAACAGTTATTCCCGGGAGGTGCCACGGGGAGAAAAAATAATATAAAATGAAACTGAGGCCATGTTTTACTAAAGCTAGCACTAGAGATGCTATTACGTGGCCTCGCTTTACTAATGCTTGGCCTCCAGATTGTTTAATTCGTTCCTCGTTTTGGTTCATTAGTATGCTCAATATAAGTGTAACGTTACAGAGAGGCAGCGCCACAGACCAGCCTGTCCACAGGGGTGAGGTTAGTTAGATATTTCATATTCGCCGGTTTTCGCGGCTAATATCGTTAATAGCTGTATCAAAGCCTTGATATCCGCCAGTTTTTGGGTACGTCGGAAAGCTAATTTAGGCAGATGTTTCACAGTTTTATCACCTCGAAATAATCAAAAATGACGATACAGTTGAGAGTGCAGCGAACTGAGTGCCTGTCCAACGCGTCTGATTGTAGGCGTAGTGAGGGACCGTCCTAAAAGTGCAGTACTACCCATTTAAATATTAAATATCTTTTTTGTTTTTCAACGTAGAAATCTCAAACCATTCATACCTTCCATTATAAAGAGCCCGTCAACATTTCACATCTGTAAGGTTGTAAATAAATGTAGCAAATTATGGTTATGCATGCCCTATGTCCATAATCGTGCACAGTTCAAGGTTGTCTTGTCAACAACCTGCTCATTCATTAATATATTGACGTGAAACCACCTATGATGTGTCTTTAACATCCCCTCACAACTTTCAATGCTGTTGTGAGATGAGACTGAGATTGCCCTGAGCAAATCCCTCAGCATCATTATCAATGACCTACTGCTGAGATACACACATTTCAAGGTTGTAATTTCAGTATTGCTTATTGATGAATATATTGACAACAAATCACTTGCCACGTGTCCTCTCATAACATTCACAGCTGGTAGTTTATGGGAGAGCCCTTAGCAAATCTCTGAGCATTTTTATCAGTGATCTATATCATTAAATATCTAAATTTGAAGGAGGTGATTTCAATAGCTTGCTCATTTGTGAATATATTGAATTCAAATCACATATCACATTTCTGTGACATCCTGTCACAACTTTAACAGCTTTGAGTTTGTGGAAAAGCCCTTGGCAAATGTCTTGGCATTATTATCAGTAACTTGTTGCCTTTAATATGGACATTTTAAGCTGTGATTTCAACAGCTTGCTCATTTAAAATTAATAAATAGATGTGAAACCCCCTCTGATGTGTCTTTGACATCCTTTACATCTTTCACAGCTGTAAGTTTGTGGAAAAGCCCTCGGCAAATCTCATAACATACTTATCGATGATCTATTGCTTTGATATGCACAGTTTAAGGTTGTAATTTCAACTGCTGGCTGAGTCATTTTATGAATATATTGACAGAAATACTTCTCATGTGTCTGTAACATCCTGTCACAACTTTCACAATGCTTAATACAGCATAAACATTTTTAACAATGTATGGTTTATCACTCCACTCTTCCATTCAGCATACATCTTATCCAACAAGTAGTATGCAATGTTATGTTAAAGACATTAAACTTGATGATTTGGTTCAACCTACTGACAGCCATTCACCATGTATTTTGATGGTCAGCCAAAAAATATTGGTGTGGGTAAAATGTCATTTACACTTATTGTCATTTAAAATATAGAAATGTGCAGCAAAGCAACATTACATTGTGTGATTTGTCAAATCAAGCAATATGGGATCTCGTGACCTCCATTTGACTGTTGCTACATTATCTGTGTCCAGTTTCTATCTGTCTTATCCCTACATCTTTCTCCAGCCAATGGACTGACATCAGCCAGCAGAGATGCTGCTTAAAGATCTTCCCAGAGAGGCCCTGATGCGGCCATTATCCAGGAATGAAGTGGTGGGCATGTTGTTGAGGTTGACCATCTTTGGCGCAGCGACCTACTACAGCATCAAATGGGTTGTAGACGCTATGGACCCCACTGCCAAACAGAAAAACCAAGCCAAGAAAAGGGTATAAAGAACATAAGCACTATCTGTGCAATTTAATACCCATACTACCATACAATTTACTATGTCAGAATAAGATGTAGTAATGCATAGTATGTGAAAAGCAGTATGCAAGAAACAAGATGATGTCTTACTGCATCTGGTTACATATTGCAGTATGCAAGCCAGCATGCATTTCTGGCTGTTGTGACCCACAATCCTCTGTGCTTCAGAATGCAGCTTAATTGTTATCCTTGTGTGTCTTCAGCTGTGGTGTGTGTTTCCTCTCTACAGGCAGAACAGCTGATGAAGAGGATTGGCGTTGAGGGCGTCAAACTCACAGAGTATGAGATGAATATTGCATCTCATCTAGTTGATCCTCAAACTATGAAGGTAACAGTTGTTATCCTCATCCATGATTCATGATATTGAGATTATGAAGTGCCGTGACATTTTTACTCTTTTTATCATTGCACTTCACCGTACTCTACCCTCCTGCAGGTGTCCTGGAGAGATATAGCAGGTCTGGATGAGGTTATCAACGAGCTGCAAGACACAGTCATCCTGCCCTTTCAGAAGAGACACCTTTTAACTGGATCCAAACTCTTTCAGCCCCCTAAAGGTACTGCAGCAAGTCACCCAATCAGAGCTATAATGGTCAAACCTCACACACAATCTTTAAGCTATAAACTAGTTATAGGACAGAATAAGACACACTTCTTAAAGTGATTGTGAGTAATATACTAATAGATTGGTAACCACACATTATATCTGGAATTATTTAATCTTCAGTGCTTCTACAAATTATTTGGACAATGACGCATTTTTGTTGTTCAACTTTTTTAGGTTTTTTTCATCCACATTGGGCCAACTGTGTAGGAATTGTAGCTGTTCTTACTCATTAACACAATTTTAGGGAAGAGAGAGTTTCATTATATATTATTAATTACTGTTTCACTTCAGTGCACACTTTCAACACAATATTTAACACAAATGATAAGATGTGATATGTAGCAGAATAATACACAGGTCATGATCAAACAGGAGCAGTAAGAACCCAAATTCTAGTACTACATGCCCCCTTTTCAGAATCAGTAATTAACATGAATGGTCTGCCATGGATGGTCTGCTAATACTGTCAGCAGACACTTGCGGTGCAGTCCAATCACAGTTGCAGCGCTATACTGTGAGACCATTTACTGTGGTATGACAGTTCATTCAGTGTATACATTTGCTTGTCTATGGTATACTTCCATTAAATAAATAGTATGAAATACCAGGATGTCCTACTGCATCAAGTCGCATTTTGCAGTATGCAAGTCAGCATGCTTATCTGGCTGTTTGATTACAGTCCTCTATGCAGCGGAAGATTTGTCACATAAACCGAGCCACAGACAGAGGACAGCTCAATGACAGCTGACAGAAGCCATAATGACTATAATAAATCATAACAAACAATCTACAGTGTATCCATATAACTTAAAAGTTGAAACTACATACAGTATATTGCAAAACTAGGGCTCTCTTTGTCGACCTCCGTCTCCAGCTAGCTTTTTGTCGTATCTCCAAGGTAACATTAAATGATAACATTAGGAAATGCTGCGTTCCAAATTGCATACTGTTTCTTTCTACTTCAGTTTTTTTGCTATGGACTGTGATGGATGTATGAGCAAGAGGGTCATAGTTCAAGGCGCAATGTTACCACCAAGTAGTGTGTCCGAATTGTGTGCATCCTGGATGCAGCAGTACATATATTGTAAAGGCAGCTGCAGTATGTACTGAAAGTAAAAAGAAAAAATATGTGATTCAGAATGCAGAGTGTGTTTCGCATGTCCTGAGGCCAGCTTAATTTTTAAATGTGTGTTTTCCATTCAGTGACTTGAAGAACACTGTGTAGCCATAATATCTCCTTAGTTGCTTCGTCTGTATGTTCAGGATCCTCCGGCTTCTTTGTCCTACAACTCTGGGACCATGTGTAAACGACACAACACTGTATACTCAGCCTTTTAACTCAATGGTCAATATTAATTTCTAAATATACTGTAGAACCAAAACAAACAGAACCAAGTCACTGTTACATTTTCTGACTGCACTTTCTGTCATGACTGCAAATACTTTGAATTGAAGTGCATCAGAAGGTAGCCAGTATAAAAGTAGGTTTTAATATCCTCTGCATTGACAACCTGCAGATATCAGAAGTTGTTATAAGCCACACTGGTTTGTGTGTTAGCCATTCTCTTTCTCATTATTGTCAGATAGCCATCCGGTGCATTATGCCTTTATCTAGAGCTATGTGCCAAAAAGCATCTGATGAGATTTATTCACTTGGCAGCCTGACAGCAGATGATCATTGAGAGGAACACTTTACTTTCTGTAGAGAGTTTTTACTGTTTAGCACAAAGCTTTATACAGAGCATGAGGATGAGTCAACCTCCAGAATTAGCCATTATGGAAATCCAGTTCCATTCCTAGTCTCCAGCCTTTGTTTGTGTCATGGAAGTGTTTAAAAGTATGCAGTAAGTTGTGCCAAGTTTTGCGTCTGTACTTGTGTTAAAGAAGACCAAGTAAGGCAAAATAGCTCCACACAGTTGCCAGTAATTGTTGATCGTTGTTACAGATTCCTTCAATAATAAGGTCTATAAATTAAATTTGTCCGTACTAAATTTACAGTATTTATTTTATTGTTTTTTTTTTTAATTTGTAAATTCCTAATTTCTGTTCATATTTTGTCCTTGCAGGTGTTTTATTGTTTGGTCCTCCAGGATGTGGGAAGACCATGATTGCCAAGGCAACAGCCAAAGCCTCGGGTTGCAAGTTTATCAACCTTCAGGCATCCACGCTGACAGACATGTGGTACGGCGAATCACAGAAGCTGACTGCTGCGGTCTTCTCATTGGCTGTCAAAATCCAGCCCTGCATCATCTTCATTGATGAGATCGGTGAGTTTGATTAGTTTGTGGTAATTTTGCAGGTGTTAGGTTATATAATGTTCATTCTCGGAACCCATCGGCTGTATTCAGCGTCTGACTTCCAGCAGACGGTGATACAGCCTCTGGTGGCAGACCCCCAATTTTTTGGCATTCCGGTTTGATTTGGGCGTAGGAGGCGAATTTCTGTTTCCGACTTTCGTTTATATATAAGTAAATATGCTGAACCATTGCGATGGATTCAGAGTTTGTAGTGACACCAATTGTGTTCCACCTCGTTAGTTCACCACACGGACCGTTTAACCTGGCAACAACTGCAGCTGGCTCAAACGTGATTGATCAATATCACGCGGACTACAAACAGCCTACAACCGGAAACCAGGGCTCTTCCGCTCTTCTTCCGGAGGCAAGATCTCCAGGGTTTGCCTACAGACTCTACATTCACTGAATGTAGACTCTACATTCACTGAATGTAGAGTCTGTATATAGAGCCTATATATTGTTAAATATGATCTGTTCTTATCTTACTCTTTCATGCATAAAGTCTGTTTTGCAGATCTGTTTTGGATAAATGCTGTCTTCATCCTTGTTTTTGCTCCTCATGTCTTGCGTGTTAGAGTCATTTTTGAGGAACCGCTCCAGCCTGGACCATGAGGCCACAGCCATGATGAAGGCCCAGTTCATGAGCCTGTGGGACGGCCTGGATACGTCCTCAACCACACAGGTAACACAAACATAGCTCTCTCCTATACTGTAATGTGCATACCACATTGAGTCATACTGGCATCATGTAGGACATAATACCTGTTCCACATGGTGCCTGTGCTGTGTTTGAGGTGTTAGGTGCTGTGCACATGCTGCATCTTTAACCACCTGGACAACCAAGTTTGGGTGCTGGATGCTACTCTTGTGCCTTTTCTATGCCAGGTTTCAAGAGCTCAGCAGCAGATTGCGTCTGAGGATGCTAAGCAACCTCAACAAGCACTGTGTCATAGCCTGTTTACCTGAAATCCTTGTGCAGAGCTGATCTTCAGCCAGGTGCTGTTTGTGTGTTGGCCTGTAGTCAGTAAGACAGATGTAATGCTCTGGCAGCTCTGCACTAAAATTATCAACTTCTTTTCCATATTTATCATAGACAATATTTACTGAAGGTGCGCACTGCTGTGTTCCAAAAGTTGAACTCAGTTTGTCTCAGGGCACAGCCATCAGCCTTGAAATACAGGCGCTTGGGAACGCACGCGCACCGGGACAGCTTCACTTGGGTGTTGTTGGGTGCGTCTGCCCACATCTGCACTGAAAACAATGAATTTGAGTGTGCAAAAAAAAACGCAGCATGTGTACGCCCCCTGCAGTGGCTGGCTTTGTCAGCATAATGTATTCACATTGTGATTTGTGCAATTGTAGGTGATGGTGATGGGAGCTACAAACAGGCCACAGGACGTGGATCCAGCCATTCTGCGCAGGATGCCCGCCACTTTTCATGTTGGCCTGCCAGTAAGACGCACACACACACACCAGCAAAAACAGTTGCCATCAATGTAATCTAAATTAACACACAAAAATTCATACAGTATTTAATATGTTGAAAGAATTATGTTTTCTGCCACTCTGTTTTATATGTCACATTAAGGTACATTTACTTTTCATATGTGTGGGGCAGTTTTACCCAGAAGGATAAGCTTTTGTTTAACTAACTCTGGGCCCCACTGTACCACATCATTTGCTAATCTCCATATAGTGATTGAAACGGTGCGTTTTATTGAGTGCTTTCAACTACACATAAAGTAAAGGAGCACAGCTTAAACTCACTGAACTGTGAGTGTGTCTCAGATTGTCTTATGGCTGCCGGCCAAACCACATTAAGCAGGTGCTAAATCTTTTCCTCTAGTACAATAAACAGCTCCTTGTCATGTCAGTTATAAATGTACGTGAGCTGTTGATGCTGAGCAGGAAAATATAGTGCTTGAGTATAATTGTAGCTTTTCGCAGTAAATGTATTAGTGTATTGTTTATGTATAATGTGTTGAGGCAGTGTAAGTGGCACTTAGTGTCTGGTGATTAGAAAGTATTTAAGCTGGTGATTAGTTGCTAATTGAAAGGTACATTCTTTTTTTAATTAATAGTTTGCACGTTATTATGCTTTTATTTTTCTAATAAGAACTACTGTCCTTTTGTCTTTGCAGAACACAAGACAAAGACAGGACATCCTGAGGCTGATTTTAGCAGGAGAAAATGTAAGAAGTGATTTCTTTTCATCCTAGTCAGCCGAGGAAGAAATTACTCTATTCACTGCTCTCTTATGTCACTCTCAGAGACCATTTCACACCTGTATTTTCACTGTCAAATCACATTAAAGTAAATCAGTTCACCCATGAACAGGTGGCACTGATTGGCACTAAGAAACACACCCCAAGACTTGTGACAGCTAACAGATTAAGTCTTTGTAATTGCCTGACATTGCTCTCCTTTGCTTTTCTGCTCAGCTGAGCAATGCCATTAATCTGAGGGAGATTGCTGAGAAGACAGAGAGTTACTCTGGCAGTGACCTCCGGGAGCTTTGCCGCGATGCTGCCATGTACCGAGTCCGGGACTACGTCCGCAAGGAGCAGATGAGGCAGATCGCTCAGCAGCTGCAGGACTGCGAAGAGGAGGAGAAGTATGACTCACATACAAACACCCACAAGATTTCATAGCCATTGTGTCCGCTGAGCATCTCTTTGTTTAAATACAGTACCCATCCTAAACAGTCGAGGTTAGACCAGTGTGGGCTTTTGAAAGCTGATAGCAATATTATTTTGAATGATGTATGCACTGGTACTCTTTAATATTCCCACAAATGACCCACTCTTTTCAGTGTCCAGTGGGATATAAAAACTAAAACATGAATGCACTCTAATGAACTCTAATCATGATACACATTAAACTAATGTTGGGTCTCAGGCCAAAGAACTATTGGAGTGTTGATCATTGTCAACGTGAAGTAAATTAATTCAATGAGAAGGTAGCAGAGGTGGATCTGATTGATTTTTAAAGCACCTTATACTTTATACAGGCTAAAATCTGATCTGTGTAACCCAGGCCTCAGCTGTTGCTAAGCGACTATTGAAACCCTCTTGGAAGCACGATTGCTAAAAGAAGAAGTATTTTTAACTTTTAGTTCTCAGCACTCTAAACACTAAGGCATCAGCATGTTGTTTCAAGTCACTATAAGACATGACGTTCAGCCTTACTTTAGTTCTTTGTGTCAATACACTGACTTCATCCTGTGGTCTTTTTTAAAAACGTTTATTTAGAAGTCAGTTTGTCCCACCAGCACAATTATTAGAATAAAAGAAAATTGACTACACTACGAATAGGAATATGTATTAGATATATTGCAACCAACTTTTTCACCATGTTGAGATCATGAAAAAAATGAAAGTACTGAGGGCATGTAAAAGAACAGTAAAACAGATTTTCTTTTTAAAAAATCCAAACTGTACAACTTAAAAAGACAATATAAAATATGTAATACGTTATACATATTTAAATACCTAAACTTTGGAGGGAGGTGAAACAGCTCCAAAACCTCAAAAAAAATCACTAAATAACTGTAAGGTTTCTGGAGAAGCATTTTGCTTTGCTTTTGTGAATTTTAAAGGTCCAGTGTGTAGGATTACGGAATACATTGCAAGAAGTAAAACATAATATTCATAACTATGTTTGTATTGTGTAAAATCACCTGAAACTGAGAATCATTGTGTTTTTGTTACCATACAATGAGCCGCTTATTTCTCAACAGACTTATTCATGTTGTTTCTGCAGTAGCCCAGAATGGACAAATCAAACACTGGCTCTAGATAGGGCCTTTCACGTTTTGGCATAGTTCTCACACAGCACAATTTTTAGTTGGCAACAATCTGTGACCTCACAGCTAGATGCCACTGAATCCTATACACCAGCCCGTTAAGAACCCAGTTATGTTCCAAACACACACAAAAAAAATTTCAATAGTGGATTTCTTCTCTAAATGCACTGATACCAGTGATACCATATCATTACCAGAAAAAGTTTTTTGATTAGGATACCTTATTATTTGTTATTTTTCTGTCTATTCTAAAGTACTGAGAATCTGAATGCAGAAACCACCTTATTGTAAAAATAACAATAAATGGTCTTGACAGACCTTCTTCTTCCACCTCTGCCATCTCTCCAGAAAACAGTATGTTGAAAACCTGAATATTGCGTGAACATAATCAATAGAATGCTTAATAAGCTGATTGTATCATTAGGAAATCAAGAACAGTTCTTCCCTGTTCAAACAGTATTTCCCTATTTATCTTCTGCTGACATTCAGACGCCTTGTCCTTTCACATGGATGGATATTTTTGACACAATCCTGAGTAAATGCTATAAATCTTTCATGTGATATTTTTACATGTAAAAGTAATCTCATGTTTTCCTACAAAAACTGTTATAACACAAATTTTGTCCTTTAACAATCACTGTCAGCCACACTTGTTAAAAAAGGGGGTGTGGCTCTACTGTAGTCCACTGTAGATGATGTGGAACACTGTGATTACTTCCGAACATCCCATCAAATAAGTCTGCGCATCTGGGTGGAGTCAGATGACAGAAATCATAGATCTAGACATATTAGAAATAGTTATTTTCATTGGAATGGACGGGTTATCTGGACAAGCTAGATCTTTAATTGACAGAGGCTCTCTAAAGTTACAGGGTGACTGATGTCAGACAGCTCAAGTAGTTCAAGTAGTTTTAGTGTAAAACAGCTGAGTACAATGTGTAGCTTTCTTGTATACCACTGCGAAAACACGTACTATAAAGTGTAGTTTACATAAGGAATACAAATAGTGTGCAGAATGGAATGGAGACACAGCTACTGTTTTTGTTGTTCACCTCGGCCTTTGGTTGAGTACAGTCACCTCTATTTGGTCTTTTACCTTTGTTATATTTCACTGTATAAATGTTTTTTTTTTTTGTGTGTGTGTTGTTGTTGTTGTTCTTGCTTATTTAACTGTAAAGCACTTTGGTTGGCCGTTGGCTGTTGGCTGTAGCTGACATTGACATTGACATTGAAGGCCTCTGTCTCTGACCTCTGACCTCTTATGTCCTTTGCCGCAGACCTGTGGATGAGGAGCGGTTGCGGCCAGTCACCCAGCTGGACCTCCTCTTCGGCCTGGACAAGATGAAGGAATCTAAGCGGGCCGCAGCCTTCATGTTACCCGTTGTGTCAGAGGTACCTCTGGACTAAACACCAACACTGCGCCACGATGGGAAACATTTTCTTCAAACTCACTGAGTTTGTGTTTCAACTCACCAAGCAGAGTCTCCTCCAACATGTCTGAGGTGCAGCTGGGAAAGCCAAGAGGCAGCCATACTTTTCATAAACTACTTTCCAGGCAGGGTTTGTTCTGAGCATGCTTACTTTCAGCACAACCCTGTCAGATGTGTAAAGTTACAATACAGTCAGAAATCTAATGTCTCCAATTCGCCACTGACCTAAAGTCAGTGTCTTGCTCCTGGGCGCCATTAAAGTTTCTTCGGTAGTGAAAGCATTCTCCATACACATTATGAATCTGACTGAAGTTACGGCTAGTGATACTACAAACTACTATACTTCATCACAATAAGGTTCCATATATGGTCCTGCCACTGATTGTGAGCAGAGGGGACTGAGCACCATGATGCATGAGTGTGGACTCCAGACCAGTGTCATCCTTCAAGGTTTGCTGCTTAATTTCTAAATCAGGCATCTCCTGTCTTCTTTTTTGGGCAAACACAGACTTCAATAGACTTAACAAAGACTCAAATCACTTTAAAGTGATATAATCCAAGTTGTTTGGAAGAAATCATTCAGATGACCTCGGTCCTCCTAAGTCACAGTACACTATATTGTCTACAAATGCTGTTGTGTCATAGCAAGTTAGTCCTTAATGCATTTCAGTATGTTCAGCTTGTTATTTTCCAAATAACAAGCTGTCTATTATAGGGCTGGGTAAACATAATTGATTCAGTTGATTCAAATCAGTCTTCTTTGAATGATCTGAGATTGATTCATAAATCCAACATCGACCTTTAGATATATACCTTTACCTGCTGAAGCATGAAGCTTTAACCCTGTTAATCTCGCAAAAGTGATATTTCAGTCTGCTCTGTCCGCAGTTTCTCATCCATCACTGCTTATGGCATGTTTTACGCAAGCACAGCAAGCTAGCTCGGTTAATAGGGGTCTGTCTGTCTATCTTAGTTTGCAACAATCAAAATTTACCAGCGATGTCAGCAGGCACTCAATCACTGCAGCAGCAGAGGGAGGAGCACAGAGGACAGGATGAAGGATTGAGGTCTGTGTTCTTCATTCTTTCTAACCTCATCTAGTATTGTTATATCAGGAATATAATTTATTTTATTTACATTTTAGATTTCTATCTGGTGAGATATTATTGAGGTTATATAGTGAGTTTGCTGTTGTAATATAACTGTTGTGCTCTAGAAACGAAGCAAAATTGTTATTGTAACTGAATATCCCTCATAGAATTGATATTGCTTCGAATCAAATCGGGACCTTGTGAATCGGACTCAAATCGATTTAGGAAATCAGTGTTTATACCCAGCCCTAGTCTGATAAAGAAATGGTTTTCTTATTTTCAGGAATGCCAGATTTAGGTCTAATTATTCTAAGATAGCTCCACCTTTTACCAGCTGTCTTTTTATCCTGACCTAGCAAAGACTGCTTTCTCCTGGTGAATGTACTGACACTGTGTTTTTTTAAAGCTGACAAGAACATTGGATGTCATTTCTGTTTACTTTCCATGATCATTGATGAACTTTGATTGTTTTTCATGTTTGTTTGATTGCATCTTTGCTTTAAAAGTAAGAGAGGTTGTGTTTAGCCAACATGAGGTTGTAATAGAAATAGGGATGCACGATAAAATACCAGCACGTAACTGGTATCGGCCGATATTGGCTTTAAAATTAACGGATCTGAATCTTACATACATTGAAAAGCACTGTATTTCATGTCACCATCTGCTGGTGAGCCATCATGATGAGAGTATGCATGTATAATATGACGTTAATTCCACTACAGAAGAGACTTGATGATCACTAAAATTAGGTGGGGAAAAATGTGTATATATCAATGTCTGTATCCTTTATTGGCCAAATAAGTTGTTACATATCTGCATATTGGATATTGGCAAAAAATCAAATATTGTCCATCCCTAAATAGAAATCTGCAGTAATGTGGTACTCATCATGTAATGAGTTACTGCTCCTAAGGAGTACAAATTTAAATGTTTCTTTTCAGGCACAATGATTAATGTGTGTTTTTAGTCATAAAGCAAGCGCTGCTGTAGAATCCATGGAGTCACAGTATGTATATGAAAAGGAAGAACAGAACAAAGTCAGCCACAGGTGAAACACAATACATTTACTCAGCCTGCCAAGGCCAGAGCGCTCAGTGAGGCACCTCATTCCACTGAAAGTTTTTGTTCTTCTTTTTCATCACTTTTCAGCACAGTAGGGTAGAAATATATTTGAATGTAAGATCAAATAATCACAGTGTAAGCTTGAATTTGGCCTGGAAGTTTCTGTAGCAAAGCGGCCTTTCTCACAGCTGTCAGACAAAAGCAAATAACAAAACATTCAAGCAGAGATGGTAAAGATCGGGTCAGCACTTAAACCTTGTAATAAGAACCACAGCTACAATAACCTGAGCCAGAGGCAGCAATAAAGTATGCAGTCATATGCCAGTAAATCAATGACAATTATTACCCTACTACTAATAGCTATAAAATTATACATACTTTTTTTTTATCACTGCTCAGTCCTCAGCTGTTAGCAGATGTCTCATAGAAATTGTGCTGTGTGCATGCTTGTGAATGTGGAAGCACAATGCTGGGTTAAAGGTAAAAACTTTAAATGCACCTGAAGTACCCAAATCCAGTTATGTGTTCTACAATTAATATTTATTTCCCATCCAAAATGACAATAAGTGTTACATAAAGGGGGGCTTATCTTGCACAGCATAGCACAACTGTCATTGGTAGTTTCAAGCCAACAGTTCATGGTTTCATGGCCAGTGCCCACATTATGTAAGTAGCAAATGTACTGGCACCTATCTGTGCATGTGCATGTAGGTATTAAAATGAGGTACAGTGAGAGCATTGTTGCCTTAGTGCTATTTTAAGGCAGCAGAAAGCGATTATGTTGTTGACCAACAAAAACGTGGTTTATAGTCAGAATGGTGTTTTCTTGCTATGTAAAATGTGCCAACAAGCATTCACTTTGCTTGTTGCACACACAGGAACATGCAGATGGGTTGCAAGTGGGTGAAATAATACATTATTAATGTGGAAAATATCAATTACATTTTCTAAAATGTGAACATAGCAGAGCTGCAGAGCTGCTGTCTGATTCCCCATTAAGAGAAACGCTGTGCTCGTTTACATACAGGGAGCAGCATAACTTCCTTTATTTCAGAGGCTAAAAGTTTAGTTCTGTTTCCACTGTCAAGTTTGTAACTACAGTTTTTAGTTTTGTCCTTAAATGTCCCACGGTATTTCCTGCAGTGACATTACTGCTCTTTCTGCTTTACTCTCAGCTGAGTACTCACTTCTACAACTTGCCGAATTCACCATGTTAATAGCAGTATGGCAGGTGCAGGTACACCTGGCTTTTAAAGGGAATGGGAGATAACACTGATTTTTTTAATCCATGTTACGACCAAAACACATCTCTTTGTCATTGCAACTAGATTATGCACGGTTTTCTTTTCTTGAGAAAGGTCTGGTGAGCGAGACTATGCACGGTTTAACCAGCAAAAGTGGAGCTGGACACGCCCTAAATACACTTTATCCCTACATACACTTTAGACTATGTGCTATATTTAATTTAAATACACATGTTCAAATCTTACTGGTGTTTTTTTTTTAACAGTTTTTAGTGTTATATTTATTGTGTTGTTATAATTATTAGTGAGTCTCCATTTTTTTTTTTTTTTTTTTTTTTTTTCCCACTTTGTTTTCATGAGTAAACTTTTAATGTCAGGTTCCGTGCATCAATCGTCTGTCATACACAACACATCAGGGTTTTTCTGGGTCATTTGCTTTTAGTCTCACTTTCAGGAGAGCATGGCTTTAAAATTCAAATGTTTTCAATCAGCTGTCACTCTGAAGTTGCTGTGACATGCTTCTCTGACTTCCCTCTGTATAAAAAAAAAGCCTCGTTATTCACCACATGGTCACAGCATGTGTTCACGGATCTGTTCGTGGGTCTCATACAGACCTTCCTCCCACGCAGTCTGAGGAAGCCAGGGCATAGCGGTCGTTAAACATGACCACATGGTGGCACTGCTGCTTCACTGTCCTGTTACTGAGGCAGGTGGAATAGCCTGAGAGACGGACTGCTCACATGATGAGCAGTTTGTAGCAATATGGTGAGATAATGAAATAGAGAACCCTGCATACTGGATTGTTTCTCTTTTATTGGTCCATTCAGTGATATTTAGACATTTGTTGCTCTTCATTAGAGTACCTCAGGTGACAGTTAAAGGTCAAAGTGTTGCCATGTAAACCAATGATTGTGTCACCGCAGCTTACAGGTCTTAGTCCCCTTTCCTGGGAGAAGGGTAGCACTTGTGTAAATGCTTTTTCTCAGTGCAGTATCACTATCAGGTCATTCATGTGGCAGAGACTAATCTATGGATACAGAGTGTCCATATGCAGTTACTGTAAAATACATTGTCAACTATGTGTATGTGTTGAATATGATATGTACTGTAAAGTGTATTTATTAAATTACACTGAAGAAATTGTTTCCTCTGTTATTTCAGCATGGATTCAACCTGTCTGTCTGCCTGCCCTTGTTTAAGTGAATTAAATGTCATAAACCTCATTATTCCCAAAAGAAGTTCAACTTGTGAAGATTTCAAATAATATAAAACTGTATATCCAAACCTTCTAATTACCCAAATAATTTAGTATATTGGCATATGTACTGTTACATTAATTTTACTCATAACTTTCTTTACTAGTGACAAAGTGTTGATTGTGTTTCATTTTTTCGACCCCAAAAAAGTGTGGCTGTAGGAGTCTGCTACTTTATTGTAAATTCTGCAGCTGTTGCAGTCATATCCTGTACCCTTTATGCATGCATTAATAAGCCATTGTTGGCCGTAATCAAGCTCTTACTCCTTCCACTCCTTCCTTCCTGTTGCTGTTTGCTCCAGCTCTACTCTTGGTATCTAACAAAAGCCTCGCATCTCTAATAAGTCCACTTTTCAGGACTTGCTGACAGCCAAACAATTTCAAAATTACAGTCTGAGTTTTTAATGGATGTCTGGCCAAGTGCTCTGAGGTCATGAAATCTGCATAAGGGCTATGCGAAACCATGTCAAATCATTTTTAAAAAAGCCTCTTGGGATTTACCAGGTTTTCATATGACAGCAGCTATTTGATAATGATGATGGCTCATGCTCTGTTTTAAGCTTCTACTGGATATAGTCCAAACTCAGACTGCTTTGAACATCAGCATGAAATCAGCTGCAGATATTCAAGATCCTCACAGGATCAATTCAGATGTTAGTGATCCTCTGACTTTTCATCAAGACCTGCAAATCAAATAACATCCCCATCAACTGCAGCTGCACAATACACTGTTTGCTTTTAATTAGCAAATGTTAGCATGTTAACAGGCTAAACCAAGGTGGTGAACACGGTAGACTTTAGGCCTATAAAGATGCTAAACATCAGCATGTTAATGTTGTCACTGTGAGCATGTTAGCAAGCTGTCGTTAGCATTTAGCTCACAGCACTGCAGCCTCACAGAGACACTCACATCGCTATAGACCCTTAGTTGATAAGTCATTTATAAATGCTTTATTCGGTGCTTTTATTCATTTATCAAGTCCCAAGTTACTGTGATTCTTGATTAAGAATCAAGCAAGTTGAGTCGAGTCCCTGCTGCAAATCAAGCAAGTCACAAGTCAAGTTATATGAAATTCTGATGATCTGGTAGAAGGATAGCATTCTAGCTAACCTTTGAACAGCCAATAAGCTAATGTGTTAGGTAAAAAGACACATTCAAGTAAGTAGTAAGTTGGATGTGGTGGTCCTCTTACATACCGCTTTTCTCTTTTTGGATCCGTCATCAACAAAATAATTCTGAATCCAAAGATTATTATTTTCAGAACAGCTCCCTCCATGGTAGCTACCTTGTGCATGTGTTGACCTCTGCTGATCCGCTGCATCCTCGTAGGTTGCCAGGTAATTTCTAAATAAGTCTCAAGTCTAAGTTAAGTCTCGAGTCATGAATAACAAGTCAACGTCTTTTATCCATGTTAGTCAAATAAGTCTCAAGTCCTTGAATATGCAAATCAAGTCTGACTCGAGTCAAGTCATATGACTTGAGTCCCTCACCCCCGGTGTGTAGGATGTGTAGTGAAGGGGTGGTGGTGGGTAGCAGCCATTTACTCCTAAGAAACAGATCACACTAAAAATGATCTATCACTGTTGGATCATCCTTTCTATGCTTTGCACGTGCGCACAGCAGGCTCACTCGCCAGCTTTAATGATGACAAAGCAGTATTTAGCACAAGGTCACTCCAAGCCCATTCATCTTATCTAAAGCCTAACCGTGGTTTTGGAATTCCCACAAAAAGGTGAACTGGTGCATTTTTGAGAAAGAGTTAAATGATGCCAATAAGTGCAGAGATGATGCCGCCCGCAGTTTGGACAGATGGTAAGGTGATATTTACAGTTTGGTATTTAATGAGGCAGAGTCTAGAGTGTTTTCCTCCAACTAAGTTCTGCAAGGATGCATGTCTGATCTTTGACTCAGAATCATTGGTTAGTTATTCATAAAGCTATTGATGAGTTATTCATGAAGAGGGAGTCAAAGTGAAAGTTTCCGTTCCAGCTCTTTTCAATTAGAGGACAGCTCCCAGTCGATAAACATGATGGAAGAAGTTCTCCCCCGCAGCACAGCTGGCTGGAGATGTCAAAGACTTCCCATTGAGAGGAGAGCTCAGACACATAGATTCACTTTTGTGTGGCCATGGTCTGTCAGTATAGCGCTCTCAGTGCTGGTTTGATGGTCTCAACTTTTTTTTTCCATCAGATAGGAGTGGTGGAGAGAGTGTATAATGGCCCCACTCTGCTCTGTGACAGTCCTCTGAAAGCCTCAGTGCCATCGGACATGATCGAGCGAGCCCAGAGAAATCAGTGGCAGCTGTTATCCCTGCCACATTTCTCAGCAGGATATCCTGTTGCCTGCTGATGCTCAGAGTTTTATAGCTGGAGAAACTCACAAAGCCATATTACACATGAAGGGCAGAGCAGCTCCGCACTGGCAAATACACATCGTATTTCTGCAGTGAGCCAAATTGTTTTATTACTATTGAACTATGCCACCATCTACTGGCTTTTAAGATGGGTTGCATTCATTCCACCCAGGCCAACTGCCCTCACAGTGTGACGAAAGTGAAAAATAATTTGTGTATCCACCCCATGATTCGGATCTGCTACAAATTTTAATGGGTTATTCCTGGGCCAATGCTACCCCCTTCCACCAAGTTTGATAAAAATCATGCCTGTAGTCTTCTGTAATGCTGCTGAGAAACAAACAAACCAAACCTAAAACATAACCTCCTTGGCATAAATAAATTGGCTCTAGGTCAGATTAACCACTCAGACTTTGTGGTTAAATTATGATGCTCAGAGCTGAGCTTTTAAACAGGAGTCTCCTTCACGGAGTTCCCACAGTCATGGAAAACCTGGAAATATTTTCCAGGCCTGTAAAAGTCATGGAGTTAGTAAAAATCACTTTTGGAAAAAATCATGGAATTTTGTGTGTTTTTACAGTAATCTTCCATGGGTAACCTTTCACATAATGTAGCATATGGCAAGTGCATTTTCTGGAGCCAATGATGTAACGTAGCTCATATATATGTGTCAATGTTTGACTACGTTTTGATTACCATCATGAACACTTCTTCATTTTCTCTTCCCGTGTTCCGTCTCCCCCTTCATATATGCCAGTTAGCTGATGTTATGTTTGACAGAATTGAATTTGAGTAGAGTTTGAATCTGATATGTTTGAAAAATGCCAGGCAAGTGATAAAGAAAGATCAAAGAAATAATTTGACCTTTGGGGGAATACAATTTTCGACTTTCGAAGGCATGAAAAGATCAGTACCCCTCCCATGTCTGTCTGTTTGTTACCCAGCAGCCACTTAGCTTAGCTTAGCATAAAAACTGGAAACGAGGAAATAGCTAGCCTGGCTCTGTTCAAAGGTAACGAAATCTGCTTGGTGACACTTATTTGATATATCATGTTTATGTTGTGGTTATCCGAAAAGTAAAGCCAACGTGCAAGTGTCTTAAACCTGCATTCATTCTTTTGGTCAGTAGGGGGCGACTCCACTGGTTGCAAAAAGAAGTCTGATTGTATAGAAGGCTACAAGGAAATGACCCTCACCTGATTTATTAACTCAGTAAACATTTTCCTAATAAGCTCATGGGGTCAATTAGTAGTTTTAAGTCTTCTTCAGTGCAGCATGATGTTGATGTTGTTAATTATGGTCCCATTTGTTAAGTGTGTCTACATTGTGATTGACAGTTGCTACTACAGTAGCGTTCATGGAATCTTTCCAGTTCTTTTATACAGTCTTTGAATCTTACAGGGGGTTATGGCTATGGGTACGTCTTGGCTGGATACAGTGACTTTAAGTAACCTCACAATGACATCAAGAGCAAGATCAAATATCTGTACATCTGTATCAAGTCTTTATGTGAAGCTAAATTAACAGGTTACAGACTGTCAGCAAGCGATTCCTTGTCTGCTTGTGTCTCTGTGTGTGAGTGTGTGATTGCGTGTGTGCGAGTGTGTGTCATTTATCATAGTTAGATCATTTATATTATGTCCAATATATCCTTAATATAATTTAAGATACATTATCATCATGATTTCTTGCTAGACTCTCTCCAACTTAAGGAAAAAACAAACACTGAAACTATTGCTGCAGATCACGAGCCGGCCAGGGCGCTGATGCCAGGCCACATCCAGTGTGAACAGCCTAATCAGTTAATATGGGCATATATATATATATGTCCCTAATATGGTATCCTTAAGTATGTTTGCAGCTCTACAGATAATCCTTAGTTACAGTCCATCTCCAAAAGGCAGCAGCTACTCGGGAGCTTAGCAGCTTCATTTTAACTTGGCTTTAACCGCTCTGTCTTTTGGCATTCATCCAAAAATATTTTCACTGAGGAGACCAAGTGAGAATTAGAAAAATACCAAAGTGTTTTTTTTTTTTTTGTTTGTTTGTTTGTTTGTTAATAGCGATATGTGTAGTGACCGTCTTGCAGGTTATATTGTAAAAAATGGTGGTTGAAAAATGCAATCTGTCACAATTACTGCATCGGGTTATACTGGTAAATCATCCATGTGAGTGCAGTTTCCCACCCCCATGTAGAGCTACTGCAGCCACAGGGTCTGTAGAGCAGCCTCAGTGGGTCGGGGACTCTTTTGTTGCACGTCTTCCTTCTCTGCTGGATGACAAGGTCCTGCCCTACTGTACATTGACCTCTCTGCAGGAGCTGGGTCTGGAGGGAACACTTTGATGATGCTTGTGTGTCATTATTTGTGCGAGTGCTGTTAAAGTATGATGGTAAAAGCAACTGACATAATCCGAAGTAGCCTCAGTCACCCTCAACCAGGATGCTGGAAAACAATGGCAGCAAATGGTGTGATTCATATGTTGACAACACGTAAAAATGTCTTTATAAATCACCCGAGCTTTGTGTGATC